AAAAAAAAAAAAAAAAAAAAAAAAAAAAAGGAAAAATAAGATGTATAAAGCAATAGGGATCATTGTTACTTCTGCATAAAAGATGGAGTTTGTGGTTTCAGTTTGACCTTGAGTACCCTTTGCTATCATAACCTGTGCATGAAGAAAATGATCTTGCAGGGCAATCAGAGATCACAAACTCTGAAGGATAACTACTTCTTCATTGAAATGACTAGCAATGGATACTATTCTGGCTTTTGGCTGAAAAATTAATCCGGATTTGTTTGTGGATATTTTCATTTATTTTTATTAAATATTTCCAACTCAGAATTTATGCAGGAACCTAAATCCTCTGAAGCTTACTGTGACTCCATCTTAATAATAATAGATGTAATTTTTTCTTCCTAAAGCCATCCTTACCTGTGAAATATCCAAAACATAAATATGTAAATTATCACCTTTCCTTCCAAAGACATATGGGAGGCATTGATTATTTAAGGCTCAATTTTACTCTTTGGAAAATTAATCCTTTTTGTTAAAATGAATAATAAAGTCAACTGTCTATGAAGACTACTTCTAGTTGTCATAACCAGGGATCAGAACAGCTCCAAAGTTAAGCCTTAGTTGCAGCAATCTGTGGCTTTTCTTCCTAAACTAACATTCCCAATTATTTTGAGCCTTGAAGATCCCGCTACTAACTAACTGAATTCATTCAACATGCAGTTTTATTTTGCTGTTGTAAATACAACCGTCATCTTGTCTGTCTCAGGCTGTTTAGAGTAAGACAGCATCTTGATTTCTCAGAGTGATATTTATGAAATGAGTGATATAGACAAGTCTGAAAGAAGTAACTCATATAATGGGGAGGAGAAATTTGCCAGAATTTATGCCTTTACTATTTCTACCCCAAGAAAAGCTATTTCAATTCACATCCAATTCATTTATAACCCATAGATCCAGCCCTAACCGTTTTTAGATGTATATTTATAATGAACTGTACTTCCCCAACATGTCAAAAGATAATCCACAGTAACAACACTTTGGCTGACATGCAAGACATTTTAGTCCTACTTCAAAGTTAGTTAGTATCCCTCAAGCCACAATGATAAATCAAGTAGATTTTGTTCATTTTTCAAGTTTAACATTGATTTGTAGAAATGCCACTTATAGACACACTAGCAAGTGTAAGATAAACTTTTTTTTAGAAAATACAACCAAATGTCAAATATAATTCACTATTATGCTTCTTAACTTTGTAACAGGGAGTTCACTGTCTAATATAATCTACATTTAGATTATTATAATATATTAATTAATATAATCTAATATATTAATTCATTAATCTAATATAATCTATTATTTTTCTATCTTTATAAGAAATATTACCTTTGGAACTACTTGTCCAGGTCTCATCATCGTCAAAATGGGCATCTCCTCCATAATTTGGTCCAGGAGGAAAAGCATGAGCCAGCAGACCAGAGGGCCCATCAAATGGGTAGAAGTCACCATGCTCTACACACAAAAGCAAGAGTTAAAACTCTCGTTATACCCAGTGGTATCTAGCACTGGTGTCTGATGGATTTTTGTTGAAAGTTGTAAAAAGTAATGAATGACTGAAAGAAGGAATAAAAAGGGAACAATTAAGAATTATAATATAAAATGTTTCAGAAATGATTCTGCATCATTACCTTTAGTTCCAAAAGAGATCATGATATCAGCAACGTCATCGTGAAGTCTGGTAAAATTCAGAGGTGTCACATCGGACCACACTTTGAAGGCTTTTTTGAATGCCTTTTCAACTTCAGAATGAGACATATCAGGGGTATAGTTCACAATTCTATTCAATAGAGAAAGTTCCAATTAAGTTTTTGAGAGATAAGAGCTATTTTAGAATATATTTTCTTGGAATATTTCTTTTCAACACAAAACGCAATGACTTTTTAAAAAGTTCTACTAGAGGGCCGGCCCGGTGGCGCACTAGATAAGTGTGCCGCTTGGGAAGCGCGGTGGCGCTCCTGCCCGAGGGTTCGGATCCCACATA